ATTCTGAGCAAAGTCCTGTGATAAATCAATTTATCAATTATCCCGACTTAAAAAGAAGAAAGATACATTTTAGGATAATCTTTCTTTGAGCAATCCTCGTGGAAGCAATAAATCGTGAAGCAAAACCGATTTGCTCGGCGTTGATTCGCCGTTCGTGCGAAAATAATCGGCGGAGAAGAGGCATCTCTTGATAGGACGAGACAGGAACCTTCGATAATCTGCCAATGAAGCTGCGGGCAAGAAATCCGACGCCACCTACGTTGCACCGGCAGTTTTAGTGCGTATCGAACTCGAAGAGTTAGCTCCGCTGCGATCTAATCCTATTTTCGTTAGATCCGTTAATGGTTAATGGGAGGCAAAGTGGTCAGCGACCGGAACAAGGGCTAAGTCCGTCTTAAATCCCGTAGGAGGAGGGAAACCCTTGTAGCCCTTAGCCAAGGACCGTAATCCGCATGGGATAACTATTGGCTGCGCTGTTGCTTCGTCGAGTCAAACTGTGCCGAGTGCGCGAGAAAGTTTTAATTATTATCGACAACCCGGCATTCTGTGCATTCCGATCGACGAGATACGCTTATTTCGCGGAAATTCGGAAGTCAAATAGTTGCACGCGCATTAATCCAATGGGGGAGCGGCACGTTTTCGCGAATGCATCTATGCGAAATTTAATTAAGCTAATTATAAACGAAAAATCTGAGTAACATTATTCGCGCGAATGATCGTGAAGAGGCTACGAGATACCGTTGGCATCGGCAGACAATTGAAGTTCGGCGGAGGGAATCTCCGGCGAAGGACCCATGCCCGGAGGACAGGACTAATTCGCCGAGTGTATACTTAATCATTATTCGACTGTAATATGTGCAAGGGTAGAAACAACAATATCCTCGTTTCCAGCGGGGTCCGCGGCGAATCTTCTCGTAGGCAAATAGTGCAACATCGGGATTAACGAGGATTAGGGCGCGAAATTTATGAAATTTCTCGAGTCCTTTCGAGAAGTATTATACGATCGAATCGAGATTAAAATGCGCGGGAGAAAAGAAGAGATGTTATCGTGTAAACTTTGTGCGTAACTTTTCGAAGACTCTTCTTGGGCGAAAGGGAGACGCAAGACCCGAGGATATCGCGATGCAAATAAGAGAATACCAGACGCGCGATCCCCGGGGCTGTAAATTACCGAAATAATCCGGCGGTTAATTCCTACCCGCGCTTTATTACCGCTCTTGATCCGTTAAAATTAAATTCATAAATACCCGCCAATCTCGCGCCGGTCTCAAGACCCCCCCCCCCTTTTCCCTCCCCTCGCCGCGCCTCGTCTCCTTCGTTCGCAAAATATTTCGCGTCATTCACCCGTGGAAGGTCGTCGCGCCTACGACGGGTTAGATGTTTCGAGCAGGTCGAAAAGAAAAGGCTGGTGCTTCGTAGACGCTCGTATCCGAAGGAGAGTGAGTTGTATAACACGAAAACTACATTATACTATTCAAACGATTGCAGGCCGCGCCGGGCAAGTTGACATTGTTGTTTCTGAGGGTTGCCCGAGGGCCCTGCGAATATCTTAGCGTCGCGTACAGCTATGTATACGCGAGATATATACACACACATAACATTTGTGTGTGTGTGTGTGCGTGCGTGTATACGTGTGCATACACCGCGTCGTGGTACAAGCCCTCGGGGCTTGTGAACGCTACATCGAAGCCTCTCTCTCTCGTCTTCCTGCGACCGTATATACTAATCAATAACCATGAATCGCTCCGGTAACAGTGCCATGCACGTTCCGTTGCACCGTTATTGTTACTACGCGAGTGCTCGCGCCACCGTGAAAATTATTATCGCCAGCGATCCTAGGTCCGCTCGCGATATCGTCCGCCATCCGGCGAGAAACTCGTAAATCGTGACGAGCGCGGCTCCAGGGAATCTGGCATACGCCAGGTAGCACCGTCGAATGACGGCGGTATAAAAAGTATGCGTACATATGTGCGAGGAGAAAAAATTGGAGCCGGGAAAAATGCGGAAAAAAATTTCGAAATATGAATTATTTACAATAATTTATTTATTTATCTTAAATATTAATTACATTTTTCATTCCCTTCTTCATCTACATCTTTGCATAATTTGAATGTTGATGCACAAGAAGGATGATCCAGCGTCAATTAGCATAGAAATGTAATACTAATGTAAAATATACGCCGCGCGGTCCGTTGGCCGCATATATTTCCCCGTACGTCAGACTCGGAAACGAAATTGACCGACGGACAGTTCCCGTCATTAATTACCATCTATCTGTCGAGGTTAAAGCGGTCTCGCCCGCAGCGGTTGAAGAAGCGCGTACGATCCCAGAAATTCCGCTTCTCAAGCGCGTCCGAATACGGCCGCTAAAATTAAAGATATAATTCTCGGTTTATGAGCCGGGTCGCGATTAGGGCTCGTCTAATTGACATAAGAATGATAGAACGGGGGCTCGGCTTTTATAAGCGGCGCGCGCGGTATCATTTCCTTGCGAGGAAAGCGTAAAGCGCTTTTCACCGCGGCTAATATTAATCCCTGCAATTTTAATGCTCACGACTCCGCAGCCAAATTTCAATAAGGTCGTGCCTCCCCCACGAGTGCCGACCTCGCATAATTGATTCCCAGTTTTTTTTCTCCGTCGCGACAAACTTTTCCAACCGTGAGATTCGTGTCCTGCTTTACGTCATGAAAAGAAAAAATGTAAAAAAATATCCTGCAGATGTCGTAGCGTCTATTTCTTACTAGGAAAAATTAAAATTCAGACTGGTATAATTTTTAAAAAATATATTCCTAGGCAAGTTACATTATACCTATTACAAAAACTGTTAAAAATTGATTAAAGCTTTTCTTCGAATACAGTCTTTTTTAAAGCGTCATCAAAGAAAGAGAGTGCCCCGGACAAGGACGTTCATCGCTGTACAGATTTGAAAGACGTTTTTGCGAGTGGGAGAAAGATAGGCGAGCGCGAGCGGGGTAATCGTTAAAGCATTTCGGAATCAAGTCGATCCGGAATAAGCCTCGGGGTGGATGCAAGGGCTGGTGTTTCGTCGACGACGATCTCTAATAAAGTTCAATTATCCCCGGAAACGTTTGAGAGAGAACGACGACGACGGTGGGGGGGGGAGAGGGGGCAGCAGAATGTAGAAGATATGGGAAAGGGGGTGGGGGATGGGCGCGCAGGGTGCCAGGGCCGTCGAGAGAAAGAGAAACCCGGGAGAGATGATAATCTAAACGATCGCAAAGTGGGCTGCAGAAACGCGCCGAAATTGGCAATAACAGGGTGGCGAGGGGATAACGGGGGCTGAGGAGGGGTGTCGGGGGGGGGGGGGAACACAGTGCGCGGCGTATATACCACGGGGCCCCGGCGCGAACTTCCTATTCTGGTTAGCATTCAAATTGAATCTTCGTGGCGGCCGGTCGTGAAGAGTTACCGCCGTTAATGGACCTCGCAAACGCTCTCAAATTGCTGGCAGACTGCTGAGACGACGCAGCCCTACCCTAATCTACCGGCTTGATTCTCCGTCAGATCTCTCTCTCTCTCTCTCTCTCTTTCTGGTCTGTGAACGTATGTCGCGAAACTTTTTGGGTTCACGACGTGAACCCGGGTCGGAAAATAATTGTTGCTAATGCGACGATATAGCGTGTGTATATCAGCCTGCGAAAGAGTCTTTTAAAAGCTTACGAAATGCGATAAGCGGATTAAAACGTTGTTTCGGATTTTATTAAACTTTCTCGATGAAAACGTCACGCGTGAAAAATAGATGGATCGATGTTACATTTATTCCTTGAAAGTTTCTTTCCTTGTAATTGTAATTTTAATATATTCAATTTTATCCATTTAACTTTAATTTATAGCAATATCTCTTGTCAACTACACGACGAAAGATCGGTGAATCATTCGATCGATTGCGAGCTGATATGCATTACGAGTTACGTGGCTCATTGCCCACGATGTAATTTGAAAAGCGAGCCAGCCAAAAGGAAAAGAGAAAGAGATAGAGAGAAGGAGCAGCCCCTTTTGCCGCGTTACTTTTCTTTCGTTCAACCGAATTAGCTCGCTTGATTTAAAGCCCGGAAACGTTTTATCGTGTTACTGTCTGAAAAGTGATTTCGCGCACCCTCCAGCATCGAGAATACGTATAATTTTTCCGAGAGGCGTCGTTTATATACATTCGCGTACTCTCTAATTTTCTCATTTATATGCTTACGCTGACGTTTCAACGCGTCAGTTTCCCCGCAAGAATGAATATTGGTCACCATGTTGCCTCGTGATAGCGCACAGGTTTCTTAGTGCCGTTCAACGAGTTTCTGGACTCGTCCTAACGACCCTCTAGCAGAGATTCGAAATGGCTAATTTAGCGCGGTGGCTCCCACGGGAACAGGGGAGTTCTCAAGTCGGAGAGCCAGAGAAGGGAGAGGGACGGGGGAGAGACGAGTAGTAATACGCGAGACGAGAAACATGGACTAAGCGGGTGGAGATTGAAGAAGCAGGGGGGGCGGGATAGAGAGACGGGATCTCCATGTCTTAATATAATTCTATTAGAGGTAACTATGCGAGCTCTGGTCTGCCCATCGCCATTGGATTTAATCACGAACTCAGCCAACCGTGCGATATCCTCCCCCCGTAGCACCTCTCGGACGATGATTGAAGAGTGAGGAGGAGAAAGAGGGAAACGAGAGATGGGTAGAGAGGACACTTTTACTGTAAACTAACCGCTGGCTGATCTTGAAATCCTTCGCGTTTTCGAAATTTACGGCCAGAAACTCAGTCTCCTTGACGAACTCTCAAATAGATGAGACCATTTCTAGTAATTATTCATGGAGGGTGGAGACACTCGGTCGTCTTGAGCGTATTCTCGCGCAAACTAGGTAACCGAGCGATTAAAACTAACGATAGGGAGAGAGAGCGAGGAGTCGAATCGAACGAGAAGTCGCCCTTCTCGTAAGACGGAGCGCGTAAAAACGTTAAATAAATTTCCATCATCTTGCGTGTGTTACAGCCGAGCTGAAAATGGACGTTCTACGGGAGCGGGAGGTCAAGGACAGCCTGGAGCGGCAGTTGCAAGACGAGCAGAAGGTGCGAGGTGAGTACAGAAGCCGATTTTACTTGCTCGAAATCGCGAGAGGTGTGCCTTTACAAAGTTGCACCGGGTTTACCGAGGTGCCACCTAACTCGTCCGCCTCTTTCGCATTTACAGCTTTGAGAAAATTGACTTGGCAAACACACACATACACACTAATGGGTAGGTCGTGCTCGATTCGCGACACACGATAATCTTGCAGGCGTGCATCGAGAGCCTCGAGCGGGTTTTCGAAGCGAAGCTTATACTCGTCGATAAATCAAAAAGCCGTAGAGAACCTCGTATTCGTCCGTCGATTCCGCGTCTATCGTATTAATCTACGTTGGGGGTCTTGGACTTAAATCCCGTAACGTTCCCTTAGATTCGCGTCTCAACGTCTTTTAGTCTAATGGAAGGAAAGCGAGATGGATCAAAGACCGCGATCGCCTAATCGAGCTCGTATCAAACTAGAATAGTTACTGATGCGTAATCCATTTCTCTTTAATCAGCCATTTGATCCTATGATTTATTATATCACCTATCCTCGATCTTTTTCTAAATATTATCTAATAGGATTTTCCCGATATATAAAGTCTCCTTTGTTTATTTTATATAATTCCATAACATAATTTTGAACAATCAATGAACATTTTGTGAATGCTATTCAAAATTTCGTGTTATATCGCGTACAATAAAATATCAAACAATGAGAAGAATGTACGTATGATTCTTAATTTAATGCATTATTTGTAATCTATCAAATAAATTCAAATTTTGCGTAAATCACAAGTTAACAAAAGAGAATGCGCGTTGTATTATAAATGTATCAACTCTTTAATCGAAAATATCAATCGCTCGTTTTATTTATATTTACTGCAGTTTTCCGCGAACGCATTAAGTGCGGATTGAATCCGCCTTGATGAACGCGAACGTCCGCATCCGGGGATCAGAACTGGATCTTTGGTTCCCGCTCGCAGATATAATATCGCGGATTTTCGAGGCTCGACAATATATGTCGACGTCTCGTCTGACGTGACAACAATGCGAGACTCGATAAATATGTAAAAGTCGGGAAGAACGCTCACGCCATATTCGTGGCTTTACGAAACGCGACGTGCTATTCTATTCAAAAATAATGAGTGAAATGGTCTCTCGGTAAAAGCCTCGGAAAAATTACGCGATTAAAATATTCTTCAGCGAGATAATACGCGCGCGATAATAAAATTCAATAGTCACGAAAAGACATGGTAAACGAAAACGTTGGATTATTTCTTCGATATTGTTACTCGAAATGATTCGCGGGGGCTGAAATTTTCGATAAACACGAGACGAACGTATAGACCGCGAGTGAGTTTCGGTCGATTCTCAGGAAAAACGACTCGGCGAGGCCAGGCCCTCGCGGTAACACGAGCCTGTGACAACAGCAGTCCATTAGTCAACCAGCTCGGTGTCAATACATGAATATGACAGCCAGTCTCACGGAATATCCTATCCATCCTCTTTGTCTCTCTCTCTCTTTCTCTCCCTCATCTTCTTTCCCCTATTGCTTCGTCCTTCCGACCGTAACGTCAAGCGAAACCATTACTCGCCCTATGATATCGTAAATATAGTAAATAGTCTGCCCGCATTGTGCGCCCTATCGATAACTTTATCCGTGCGAGCGATGTATGCGTTCTCGGCGCATGTTTCGCACGCGTACGACATTACGTTATCACTTGAACGGCGATGTTGAGATCCTGTATCGTCGTTGATTTATACTTTTAGAGTATCTTTAGGACGGACGAAACTCAAAATGGTTGCCAAGTGTTTCCCACTTGCATCTCTTCGTATTTGCGCGCCTTGGATGAATATATCATCCAAGGTAATGTATCAATTCCGCGTCGGAAATACCGTGGAATTCCTGTAAAAAATAATAGTTCGTTAAGAAGCCCCCGGTGTAATTTCGTCTCAGTTGAGGGCGGATCTCGCGATACATAATTTCGTGCGTAGCCGGCTCGCAGGATTCTAAGATGATTGATGACCGGCCAGTCCCACGGATATTTACGCAGGCACTTGGTAAGACTTCCTCCTCTCATTCGACTAATGACCGCCTTGTAAGAGATACCGTGTCAACCTTTGCCGGCTGGCGACGAGGACGACGACGACGACGACCTCGGGGCGCTTTAACGAGGGCGTATCCGTCGGCAGTTTTTCCGATCGAGTACTTCGCGTTACACACCCCTTTTTCCCCCGCGAAATGACGCACACGTGCGCGAAGCCATCCGACCTGGAATTTAAAATATCAAGAAAACAGCCCACGCGTTCAGATCGATTGTAAAGTCCGAGTAACAGTAATAATAGCAACATTTAACGTGTTTAAAAGTACGCGCAGCAAAGTGTAAATGCTAATTAAGAATGCAATGTCGATTCGGAAAGGAATTTCGTTCCTCGGGGGTGAATGTCTCGTCAATTACGTCGTTTCTCGTTACACGATATCATTAGGAGAGACGCGAGTGTCAACGACGTCGACGAAGGCTCGCTTTATGCGCGATTCTACGGGCAATTTGTGCTCCCGGAATCGAAATCGTACGCGATACGACGACTACGTGTCAAGAGGGAAGCAACGTTATTAGCCCGTTTAAAGCCCCGCTTGGCATTTCGGTAAAGGTTGAAATCTTCGACCTCCTGCCGGGTGGGTGGATGGGTGGGTTCGTATTATCTTAGCAGGGGCTGCGAGAAATCCGGCTTCCTTTGCCTCGGTGGTATCACGACGGCAAGGGAAGTTGTCAGAGTTGAATGCGCGACTTTGTCGAGACGGCGAACAATGAGATGACCTTTCGCAGCTGGCGAATACGCAGCAGCCTCGTAATTCTGGTCACAAAAGACCAACGACCTCTCCTTGATTGTTCGTTGAATATAATCCCCCGAAGAAATAATGATAGAATAATGATAGAATAAATCGCATTTCAATTTCTGGCTGTTTAATGAAGTCTGATTCATGACGGAAACGCGACCGCTCACTTTGTTTACTTTTGCCATAAACGTCAAACGATTATGGAATGATGTCATTGTTTTGCTTTTTTCTGTAATTGGATTATGAGAAGGAACCATCAATGCTTATGGGACTCTCCCATGTTTTTTTCCGGCGCTTACGCAAACGTGAACGATCGCATTTAGACTTTCGAGTCATTATGAGATCGGGAAAAGTGTACGCGACTGGTACTCGCCCGTTCGCGGACGCTAATATTAATATTAGTATCGAAACTTTACGCGCGAACGATGAAAGAATAACAAACATGATGTGAAGAAACGCTTCTGGATTCGATCTTCTGGCGGATATTCTGGCCGTCCCGTCGTAACCCCGGATAAACGAACGAACGAACGACATTTTCGCGCAAAAGCAAAAAGCTTCCGACACGCGTAAACCTTTGGAACCGCGGAAGCCTGGGAACCGAAGCCGCCTTTACCGCCGGTTTACACGGAGCTGCGGCCTCCCTGTAATTAGCCGAGTCGTTTGTCGTCGAGAAGAACACCCCTTTCAAGCCCCTCACACCCCCTCGTGCCTATCTCACCGGGCGCCTCTTGTAACAATCTATGAGAGGTGCGTTGTTCGTTGTTAGCTACTTCAAGTTGTGCCGTGAGATAAAAGAAGCTCCACGTGACAGTTATTCGATCAATCACGTGGCGGTACCAAGTCATACTTACTGCATCGATCGTTGCGATTAAATAAGAAACGAACCGCGAACAATTTATTACGGACAAATGGAAGGATCTTGGACGGAAATATCTCGACAGTATAATATCTTCGCGAGATAGTTATCCCTAATGACAAACATTACGCTCAATCGTATCCGGTTACGGTTATGGGACACGCTCGATCGAACGACGCGTCGTTTTAATGCGGAATTAATCTCTTCGGTGAAAAAAAAAGCAACTGTAACGACCTGCCGACGTGTTATCTCCCGCGTCGTACCAACGACAAACGGAATTGAAACTGCACAATCAACTCGCCGAGATTTATATACGACTCTCCCCTCGAATTAGCCGGGCCGTAATGCTGGGATCGGGTGTCGGTGTAATTGGGACCCGAGGGACTTTCCCGCGCTTCAACCCCTGCTCGGCCGCGCCGCCCACCCGCCAGCGTCATCCCTCTCTCGAGTTGTGCCTCTGGATACCTCTCGTTCGTTCACCGTTTTGCGCCGGACGACGAAGTCGCCTACGGAATCGACAAAGAGAATGACTAAGAATGATTTCACGCTAGGCGATTGCGAAATATCGGGGGATGAGGACCGTGAAAAGTAGGTCGGCGCACGGTCGATTGGCTCGTCGTAAATAAAATTACGAGAATGCCGGGTCACTGGCATCGCCGCGTCGACATTGTTCGAGGTATTAATTGTCTCTTCTCGGGGGAAAAATTCACGAGGAGACCCCAAACGACGTGCCTTCAAAAAAATCGACGATATTCGGATCTATTCCTATTCCGTCATGAATCGAAGACTAATTCTCAGAAGACGATCGACAATCTCAGATCGACGACAGTGACGCCCACGAGGACAATGTTGATGGCAACGATGCCCTCGTGCGTAACGGTAGCTGATTCGCTTTGAAGTGAACGTTTACAGCCATCGATAGAACCCTCTTCGATGCTGTAGCCACGTAAAACCAGAGTAGAGGATGCAACGATGCTCACCCCCGTCGGCCGACGCTCGTGTGACGCGCATGTACGCACGCACACAAATTCACACACGCGGAAACGTGCCAATGACCACTTTACCCTTTCGCCTGCGAAGGAAACGCCTCATCTTTCTCAGCGCGAGTATTCTGATTCATTGAATCCTGCCGAGCGCGATGTCGATCCTGTTCACTGCGCACCGAACGAAGTCACCGCAGTGGACAAACATTAGGAGACTCGCGCGGATACCGGAAGTTGGAGGGTATTAGCCCGTCAAGTGGAACGCGTTGCCATTGCCGGCAAAATGAGCACGTGGAACGTGTCGAGCGAGGCGAAACGGACGACGAGGCGAAGCTCGCCGCTCGAAAAAGGT